CCCCAAAACCCCAAAACCCCAAAACCCCAAAACCCCAAGCAGAAAATCTTAGGTTGAATTGTAATAGGATCCTCAGAATTATAATTTGCACAAAAAGTACGTACAAGTTCTTTTAGGGGCGGTAATCTAAGAAAACGTTGACCCTCTCTAATGTGAAGAAACCGGAGAGTTTTTACTAAATCCAGAAAATCCGCAATCCATGAAAATTGTTGAAAGACATTTCTTGGGTAGGGGTTTCATATAGTTATTAGGCCCGAAAGTGAATTATGTTACTCTCATGGAATTGGAGATATTAGATGGTTCATTTTATATTGGCTATTCCATTCTATCTTCGATGCAAGCTCAGGATGATTTAGAACACTGGATAGAGCAAGAGCACTCCAGATCTCAGGTTTGTAGATCTTGTAGCACATATTTACATCAATCTCTTCAAATTTGACATCGAAAGCATCTTTGTAAGTAAATTTAAGATTACTGTGTTTCATTTCTTCAAGGTAATTAAGCCATTGGATTTTATCCATAGTAAATCAAGAGTAGGTATTGCTAAAGGTGTCATTTTTCATAAGAGCTTTGTAGATAATCTCCTTCCCTTTATGAAGATAATAGATCCCATCCTTTATTTCATTCTTAATCTCTAAGATACTAGGGATTTTATTATGAACCATGTGATCATACTCAACTTCGCTCGATATCATAGGAAGTTTTATGTCAAGGAAATCTCTCAATTTTTCATCAGGATATTGCTCATATTTCTCAAACTTCTTCATTCTAAGATAAGCCTGAGCTTCTGAAAATGTGCTTGGCATTTTCTTATCAGCAGCATAAAACATGCTTTGAAAATCAGTACCTCAAAGAATATTTTCCAAAAAGAGGTCAAAAGATCCATCAAGTATTTTCATTTTCTCCGCTCCCATTGAGCTGTATCCCAATTGGATTTTTCTGATAGTTTTCATAAGTTTTTCATCTTTTCCATCCATTTTCTTTGCTCTTTCTATCAAATTGTCGATCATGCGGATATCTCTGTTAAGCTCATCTCTGGTGCCGCCTCTCTCAGTGCATTCAAATAGACGAATCTTGTGTTTAGCATACTGGAGTTCTTTAGTGAGGTTCTTGCAGAGGTCTTCAAGATACCCACATCGCTTCTCAAGATCTTCATAGTACTTCTTCTTTCTCTGCCTGGCCTTCCTTGCCCTTTCTTTATTCGACATTCTTGGCTTGTTCTTTGGCTCTGGCTCCTTAATTTCACTTTCTGTGGGTTGTGGAGGCTCTTTCAGAGTTGTTTTAGGCACAGAAAGGTTTAATTTACTAGTAGAACTTGTAGGTTTGAGGTTGCTGAAAGGCATAATCTCATCATCAGGCTGAATATCCTCATTAAGGTCTAATTTCTGGCTAAACATATCATTATCAATCTCGTTTGGAGGCCCAAAATCGAATTCATAGCTCTGGTCAGGGATGAACTCTTGATTAAAGGCAGGTAATGGGTCTGGGCTCATCATTTGGTCTTCCAGACCCATTTCAAGGAGATTTTCTTGAGTCTGCTTTGCAGTATTCTCCCTCAGAACGTTGTCTATCTCTTCAAGGTACTGGAACATGGACGTTGTTACAATGTATTGGTGGTCTTCCATAGTAATTAATTTGTGTTACGTTGCAACTATTTTAAGGTTTATAGGGGTTTTGGGGTTTTGGGGTTTTGGGG